CCTTCAATCACTAATTAAGAAAATGTCCTATAAGCCTGTCTACTACGGCTCAATCTTATGGAGGCATTTTCTTAACTGAACTTCCATCTTCTCTATCTTGTGCCAAGTTGACATAAAACTAGGCAGCATAGTGAACATCTTGACATTGTTCCTCCAGTAATGTTGGAGGAGCAGGGAATGCAGCTTCTCAAAAGATTCTTGTCATGCATGCCTGCCTTCAGACCTCAGCACTGACAAACAAAACTATACCACCACGTGAGATAGCACATGCCTGCAATCCCGGCACTTGGGAGGCTGTGGCAGGAGGATCACGAGTTTGAGGCTAGCTTTGGTTACCTAGTGAGACTTTGTCTCAATAAAACAAAAAAACAACAACAAAAACTGAAGTGTGCTTTTTTTTTTTTTTGTATGGGGTTTCTCTGTGTAGCTCTGGCTGTCCTGGAACTCACTCTGTAGACTAGGCTGGTCTCTAACTCAGAGATCTGCCTGCCTTTGCCTCCGAGTGCTGGGATTAAAGGCATGTGTCACCCCTTGCCCAGTTAAAAAAAATTATTATTTTATGTGTATGAGTCTGTGCACGTGTGTGCAGAGCTCATGGAGCCCAGAAAAGGGCATCAGAACACCAGGAACTGGAGTTACAGACCACCTTGAGCTGCCATGTGGGTGCTGGAAATCAAACCCAGGTCCTCTGGAAGAGCATCAAGTACCATCTCTTCAGTCATCTCTCCAGCCCAGAAATGTGCTTTTATATAAACTATGAAATAAGATGCATCTAATTCCAGGTCTCGGCAGTGACTGTCTCAGGTTCCACATGAGTTACTTGTAAGTCTGCCAAGAGCAAGTTGCTTGGCTATGGGTCAGAAGTGGAATGTACCCTCTCAGAGGGACCTGAGAAATAGTAAGAAATAATGGGGGCTGGAGAGATGGCTCAGTGGTTAAGAGCACTGACTGCTCTTCCAGAGGTCCTGAGTTCAATTCCCAGCAACCACATGGTGGCTCACAACCACACATAATGAAATCTGGTGTCCTCTTCTGGACTGCAAGGACACATATAGGCAATACACTCTATACATAATAAATAAATAAATCGAAAAAAAAGAATTAAATGTAAAAAAAGAAAAAGAAATAATGGAGCCAGGCATAGTGATGCATGCCTTTAATGCCAGAGGCACTCCAATCTCTATTAGTTCAAGGTCAGCCTGGTCTACATAGTGAGTTCAAGGCCAGGCAAGAGTACATAGTGAGACTGTGCCTAAAAACAAACAACAAAAGACATTTAAAAAAAAAGAATGGGGTGGGCAGCAAAATGGCTCAGTGGGTACAGGAACCTGCTGCCAGGCCTGACCACCCCAGTCTGATCCCTGGGACCCACATGGTGGAAGGAAAGAACCCACGGCCACAAGTTAGTCTTTGACCTCTACACACACAATAAAGAAATGTTGCTTTTTTTTTGTTCATTTATTTTTTGTTTTTTGAGACAGGGTTTCTCTGTGTAGCTTTGGAGCCTTTCCTGGAACTCACTTGGTAGCCCAGGCTGGCCTCGAACTCACGGAGATCCGCCTGGCTCTGCCTCCCAAGTGCTGGGATTAAAGGCGTGCACCACCACCGCCCGGCTCTGCTTTTTTTTTTTTTAAGGAAATGGTACGAGGTGTAGCAAGCATATGCTAGTACACGTGAGGCACTAGGTCCAGCCCCACCACCAAAATAGCAACAACAACAGTAATAATAGTGATAATCTACAAACGATGTAGCAGTTTTATTTGCAATCATCAGATGATTAAGGATAGCAGAAGGCCTAAGAGAGAACAGCTTGAGATATCACCTGTACATTTTAAAATTTGTTTTATCACATTGACTCTATTTGTGCATCTGTGCGTGTGTACTCACGCATGCAGGCTTGTAGCAACGCCACAGCATTCGTGTGGGAGTCAGAATTTAGCAAGTATTCTATGAACATATCCTCCTACAGATGGTGAAAATATATTCAGGCTAGTTTTGAGCTGGGTGTGCTAAGGCAGACCTGTGACCCTAGTATTTAGGAGGCAGAGGCATGACTATGGCCATAAGTTCTGGACCAGCCTAGTTTATACAGCAATAGTGTGTGTGTGTGTGTGTGTGTGTGTGTGTGTGTGTGTGTGTGTGTGTGTGTGTTGTAGCTAGAGTTTTCCTGCCTGGCCCACAGTCAGGACAAATCTCTGTCACCCACCAGTCCCACAGCCGCTCAGACCCAACCAAGTAAACACAGAGACTTATATTGCTTACAAACTGTATGGCCGTGGCAGGCTTCTTGCTAACTGTTCTTATATCTTAAATTAATCCATTTTTATAAATCTATACCTTGACATGTGACTCATGGCTTACTGGCATCTTCACATGCTGCTTATCATGGCAGCGGCTGGCAGTGTCTCCCTCCGCCTTCCTGTTCTCTCAATTCTCCTCTCTGTTAGTCCCTCCTATACTTCCTGCTTGGCTACTGGCCAATCAATGCTTTATTTATTGACCAATCAGAGCAATTTGACATACAGATCATCCCACAGCAGTGTGTAGTTTATATATAATACAGGTGTTGGCGCGTGCATGTGTGCGCGAATGCGCGCATGCGCACGCATTAATGAGGGCATGCAAAGGACAGCCTGTAAGAGTCGTTCTTTTCTTCCACCACTTATTTGAGTTCTAGTGGTCAGGCTAGGTAACAGGCACCTTTACCTGCAGAGTCATTTGACTAGCCCTGTTTCGTTTTGATTTTTCAAAACAGGATTTCTTTGTGTAGCCTTGGCTGTCATGGAACTAGCTCTGTAGATGAACTGGCCTTGAACTCACAGAGATCCACCTGCCTCTGCCTCCCGAGTGCTGGGATCAAAGGCGTGCACCATCACTGGCCGGCCCCATTTTATTTTTTTAAGATTTCTTTTTCAATATTTATTTTTACTTTATGTTTATTGATGTTTTACCATGGGCATCAGTTCCCCTGGAACTGGAATTACAGTTGTGAGCTGCCATGTGGTTGCTGGGAACTGAACCCAGGTCCTCTAGAAGAGCAGTCAGTGCTCTTAACCACTGAGCCATCTCTCCAGCCCCTTTAAGATGCTTTTGTAAGATATTTTCAAGATGTCCTGGACTCAAATAATCCCCCTGCATTCTCTTTCCAAATATTGAGAAGACCAGTGTCTAAGGGTTTTAGACACGTTGTTTCATTTAGGGCTCATAGCAACTACACGTAATAGATAGTGTGGTCTAGGACCATTTTGTAGATGGGAAATTATTTTGAGAAACATGGGTTCTTCAGTTCTGTCCAGTGTTACTACAGAGGATGCCTAAGATGAGAATGGAAAATAAACCACTCATTTTGGCTCAATTAAGATTGTTGGCTATGCTGGTGGGGTTAAAAAAATCTTGATCGTTCTGATCAGAGAGCACTTGGAAGAAAGACAGTAAGAGTGGGGACATGGTGGGGCCAGGGAGGTGGCTCAGTGGCTAAGAGCACCTTTGGCTCTTGCAGAGGACCTTGGTTTGGTTCTCAGAACCCACACAGTGGTTCACAACCATCTGTGACTCCAGTTCCCGGGGATCCGATGCCTTCTGACTTCTGCAGGCACCAAGCACACATGTGATGCACACACATACATGCAGGCAAAACACACACAAAAGAAAATGAATAAATTATTATTTTTTAAGAATCAAGGACATGAGTCAGCAAGGACAGGCAACTCATCCACCTACCCCGCCCCCACACCCGCCACAGTCTGCTCTCTCAGACTTGGAGAGAAGAAATATTAAACGTGAAATTATAGTATGACATTTAGTATGCTGTCTTAGTTAGGGTTACTATTGCTGCGAGGAAACACCACAACCAAAAAGCAAGTTGGGGAGGAAAGGGTTTATTTGGCTTACACTTTGATGCTGCTGCTGATTATTATTATTATTATTATTATTATTATTATTATTATTGTTTTTTTTGAGACAGGGTTTCTCTGGGTAGCTTTGCGCCTTTCCTGGAACTCACTCTGTAGCCCAGGCTGGTCTCGAACTCACAGAGATCTGCCTGCCTCTGCCTCCCGAGTGCTGGGATTAAAGGCATGCACCACCACAGCCGGGCTGCTGTTCATTATTGAAGGAAGTCAGGACAGGAAGGACAGGAACTCAAACAGGGCAGGATCCTAGAGGCAGGAACTGATGCAGAAGCCATAGAGGGGTGTGGGGTGCTGCTTACTGGCTTGCTTACTCTGGCTTGCTCAGCCTGCTTTTTGTTTGTTTGCTTGTTTTTGTTTGTTTGCTTGTTTTTGTTTGCTTGCTTGTTTTTGTTTGTTTGTTTGTTTTTTGGTTTTTCGAGACAGGGTTTCTCTGTGTAGCTTTGCGCCTTTCCTGGAACTCGCTTTGGAGACCAGGCTGGCCTCGAACTCACAGAGATCCGCCTGGCTCTGCCTCCCAAGTGCTGGGATTAAAGGCGTGCGCCACCACCGCCCGGCTGTTTGTTTGTTTTTTAAGACAGGGTTTCTCTGTGTAGCCCTGGCTGTTCTGGAACTTGCTTTGTAGACCAGGCTGCCCTTGAACTCACTTAGCTCTGCCTACCTCTGCCTCGTAAGTGCTGGGATTAAAGATGTACACCACCCCGGCCCAGCTTAGCCTGCTTTCTTATAGAACCTAGGACCAACAGTCCAGAGATGGGTTGTCCCACTGATCACTAATTGAGAAAATGCTTTACAGCCGGATCTCAAGGAGGCATTTCCTCAACTGAGGCTCCTTCCTCTTTGATGACTCTAGTTTGTGTCAAGTTGACACACAAAACCAGCCAGTACAGTGTGTCAAAAGGTATTACCTGTAGCCGGGCGTGGTGGCGCATGCCTTTAATCCCAGCACTCGGGAGGCAGAGCCAGGCGGATCTCTGTGAGTTCGAGTCCAGCCTGGACTACCAAGTGAGTCCCAGGAAAGGCGCAAAGCTACACAGAGAAACCCTGTCTCGAAAAACCAAAAAAAAAAAAAAAAAAAAAAAAAGGTATTACCTGAGAGAAAGGGGAAGTTGTAATTACAGGAGAGGGAAGAAATCGAAGAAGAAAACCCTCGCTCTCCATCAGTTTCTGTGGATTGGAAGCAGGACAGATGCAGGTCAGAGGCAGCAGCAGGGAGATATTGTCCTTCGACTATCCTGGCTGCTCTTCCTTCAGTTGAACGAGAGAGAGAGAGAGAGAGAGAGAGAGAGAGAGAGGATACTTGCTGATAGAGAAGGAAAAACATGAGAAACTTGATGACCAGAAGGCATGAACCTGTCCTTACAGCAGAAAATGAACAGGTTCGTAAATATTATGGACAATATCAAGGTCCCAATCAAATACGAAGTTGTAAATTTTTTGAGGGGGCAAGATTATTTATTTATTTATTTTGAGACAGAATTTCTCTGTGTAGCCCTGGCTGTCCTGGAACTCCCTCTGTAGGCCAGGCTGGCCTCGAACTCACAGAGATCCGCCTGCCTCTGCTTTCTGAGTGCTGGGATTAAAGGCATTTGCCACCACACCTGAAATTGTAAATTTTTAAGTTTTTAAAATTATTATCATTATTTTTCTTTATGTGTATGTGTGTTTTATATGTATGTGTCTTCAGAGGGCATTGGATCCCCTGGAACTGGAGTTACAGATGGTTGTGAGCTGCCATGTGGATGCTGGGAGTCAAACCCAGATCCTCTATGGAAGAGCTCTTAACCACTGAGCCATCTCTCCAGCCTTTGAAGATGTCAATTTAAATGAGGCCATTCAGCCTATTGAGTGCATTTTTAAACCTAGCTGTGTTAGAGAAGGAGACAAAAGAGAGGGGAGACTCTGGCCTTAATGTTCAAAGGCTACGGAGTTTCCATTTGAGATGATGTCAAACTTCTGAACATGGCCTGCGCACGATCCTGTGGTCTCGGTTACCCTGTCTTCAGGTAAGAAGATCATTTGATTCTGGGGCTTCAGTGAAGGCTGGGAATGCAGCTCAGCTGGTAGAGTACTTGCCTAGCATGCACAGCTCTACTTTGAGTGGGGTGTCGGGGCACAGGTTGTGAGCTGCCCAGTGATGTGGGCGCTGAGAACTAGACCCAGGTCCTGTGAAAATGCAGTGGTTCCTCTTAATTACTGAGCCATCTCTCAACCCCAGACTCGACTGTATGTATCCCTTTAATGAACAGAAGGTGTCCTGGGAGAGGTGTGGACCCAGAAACAGGAGGATGGAAAAGGGCCGGCCTCCTCTGAACTTGGTCTTAGAACTCCTTCAGAGAGCTGTCAAAACCAAAGTCCACTTGTTTGGGCTTTTATGCATTTATTGATACTCAGGCACCGAGAAGCCTCGGCCAGCCAGTCCCAGACCACACCAAAGCACTTTCCTGGCACTTCCCAGTTGCAGGCAACATGAAGTCCCAGGAGAAGCACTTGAGGGACATGCCCCCAAGTTCTCCCCGACCCAGGACTGTTACCATTCTGATTCCTGTAATGGAAGACACACAAGAATTACTAAGAGTCATGTATTCAGAAAGCATTGTCATTCTGGGGCCACCCCAGAAATGAGAAACCTGAGAATCTACCTGAAGTTGCTTATTTAAGGTTCATATTTCTGGGTCCTTCTTAGAACTAATGATTGGAAGTCTCTGAAATCCTGGAACGTCAGACAAATCCCAGCCTACATCCTCTGTTTGGGAGCTGGGGGTTTGTTGCATTTATGAGAATTGTTGACCCTTTTCTCTATCTTAAATGTTTACTGCTTCATCTGGAGGGGCTCCAGCCTGGCTCTACCTCTGGCTGGCGATGCTCGCTAATGTGCTAGACGATTCAGACACTGCCTCCTCTACAGAACCTCCACGAATTCCTCTCTCCTTCTCTCTGGTTTTATTCATTTTCTGGAGACATGGTCTCCCTATGTACCCTGGCTGGCTCAGAACTCGCTGTATAGACTAGGTTGGTGCTAATCTGCCTGCCTCTGCCTCCTAAGTGCTGCGATCAAAGGTGTGCATGTATCTTTGACTTCCTCCAGTGCTTGTAGTGCTTTGCTCTGTTGTATCCCACTATTTGCAGGTGAGACTTTATTACCATACACTACTACTAGTTTACACAGTAACTGGGGACAGGGACTTTTGTTGTTGTTTTTCGAGACAGGGTTTCTCTGTGTAGTTTTGGTGCCTGTCCTGGATCTCGCTCTGTAGACCAGGCTGGCCTCGAACTCACAGAGATCCGCCTGGCTCTGCCTCCCGAGTGCTGGGATTAAAGGCGTGTGCCACCACCGCCCGGCAAGGGGGACAGGGACTTATTAAAAATTATAGAGGGGCTGGGCAGATGGCTCTGTGGGGAGGAGCACTTTCTGTGAAAGCAATTTCTGAGTTAGAATCTCCAGCAGCCATGTGAAAGTGGGCACGGCCATGTGTGTCTGTAACCCTAGTGTTGGGGAGTAGAGACAGACAGGTCCCAGGAACTTGCTGGCCATCCAGCCTAGCCAGAACCGCAAAATCAGGTTCAGCGAGAGACCCTGTCTCAAAAGTAAGGTGCAGGGCCGCGGAGGAAGACTGGGAGGAGTGGGTGTGCAGGTGTGCAGCCCTAAGCTTCCATGAGCTTCCAAGGTCAACTGAGAAAATGTGAGTAGAATTTTGAAGGAATCACTAAATAGAAGCAAGAAGGTGTGTGTGTGTGTGTGCGTGTGTGTGCGTGTGTGTGTGTGTGTGTGTGTGTGTGTGTGTGTGTGTGTGTGTGAGAGAGAGAGAGAGAGAGAGAGAGAGAGAAAGAGAAGATGTGCCCGGTGTGATCTAGGGCCAGCTCCTAAGGAAGGGGTCAGCCACAGTCAGGCAGCGAAATAGTAAATTCCAGTGCAATGCCCAGTTATTACCTGCAGGTGGCAGTATGATAACTCATAAAAGTCCCAGGTGGAAACCTAGCCTCTGAAAGTAAACTACCACCGCCCCAACGCACCCCACCGCCCCAAAGACAAAACAACTATCCGGGCAGGTACAACACAAGAACAAGGAAACATGGGGGACACACCACACACACTTTTGATGATAATTGATACTTAGGAGTGGCTGATTCGGTCAGCAACTCTTGCTACAGTTTTCACGTGTGACACCTTACCCACCATTGCACCACGTTGGCACAATTACTATTACCTTTAAATATTCTTTTCCAGATCCGATATATTTACATGTATTTTTTTCCACAGATATATTCAGATTTTTTTTTTTTTTTTTTTTTGGTTTTTTCGAGACAGGGTTTCTCTGTAGCTTTGCGCCTTTCCTGGAACTCGCTTTGGAGACCAGGCTGGCCTCGAACTCACAGAGATCCGCCTGCCTCTGCCTCCCAAGTGCTGGGATTAAAGGCGTGCGCCACCACCGCCCGGCTCAGATTTTTTTTTTTTAAATCAGGGCTACAGTTGAAATGGAAGTACATAACTTTTTTTCTTTCAAAATCTTTGTCAATGCTGAGCTAGTATCCACTTTCTTAGCTCTGACTATCACCACAACACAGAAGAGCAGCCACAGTCAGGTGGCACATGCCTTTAATCCCAGCCCTAGGGAGGCAGAAGTAGGGAGATCTCTGTGAGTTCAAGGCTAGCCTTGTCTACAGAGTGAGTTTTAGGACAGCCAGGGTTACAGAGAGAAACCCTGTCTTGAAAAACAAACAAACAAAAGAAAGAAAAGCAGCCATATTTTTACCTCCATTCATCTACCTATCCACTTGTTTACTTCATAATGGGCACTAAGAATCCAAGGACACAAACATGAGAATGTGGAATTGTGTCTGGCCTAAAGCTCAGGACCATGTGGAGTCACTGAGCTTCAAGGCACAATGGTGATTTTTTTTCCTTTCAATTTTGTAAAAATTTATTTTTAAGTATGTTTATGTATGGGGGTAGATGCATGCAAGTGTGGGTACCCATGGATATCAGAGGCTTTACATCCCTACAAAGCTAGAGTTACAGGAGGTTGTGAGCTGCCCTGTGTGGATGCTGGGAACCAAACTTGGGTCCTTTATAAGAGTAGTAAGCACTCTTAACCGATGGACCATCTCTCTATCGCCCTTTATTTCTGAGAAAGGGGCTCAGGGTGGCCTTAAACTTCCTGTGTAGTGGAGAATAACCTGAACTCCCGTCCTATGTCCTGTCTCTATGTGCTGGAATTATAGGTGTGAACAGCCCCACCTGGGTATAACAGGAATTTTGAAGAAAATACAGACTTAGGGACCTTAATATAGGGGAAAGGCCGACTGAAGAGAGGAAATTGCATTAGCAAAGATATGGACATTCAAAAGATATGGCACCTTCCGGAAACCACAAGTGGTTCAGTATTAAGGGAGTTGGTACTGGCTGTGAGCTGAGAGGAGAGGGCTGGCAGGCAGGAGCTGATCTCTAAGAGTCTTGCAACAGACTTGAAACATTATCTTGTAGATGATAAATATCTTAGTTCTAATTGATTTTCCACTCTGCAGTCACAGTGATAAAGTAGTTGGAAGATGAAAATCAAACTGGCCCAGCCCTGCTTCCGTATTTCATAGAATGGAGTTCCCTGGGCCTCTCCAACTGTCTCAACCCCACACCCACCGCATGCTTCTTTATCCTAGACCCCCTCACTTCCTCTTAGGCTAACCAGAGTCCCAACCTAAACTTCACTTCCTCTGTCTTCCTTGTCTCTGGAAGAAGTTCCCTGCTGTGTGCTCCCAAAGCCACCAACCCAGCCTGCATCACATTCTTAGAAGTATGTCTTCCACTTTCAGTGTCAAACTCTAGGCAGAAAAAACCCTGCTGGCTGCAGAAAGATACGAAGTTAATGCCGGTAAGGGACAAATGCAGCTTGGATATTTCTACCTGTATGTCCTGGAGGGTTGCAGTCTCCATTCAAAAATCAGCTTACCATCACTTCCTCATCTGCCCCTCCCACTCTCCCTATGCTACCAACCCCTACACAGACACTTCTCTGTCCCTCTCCACATCCTCTTTTACTGTCTGGCAGCAGAGCCCACCAGAAACATAATTGCAGACGTTTGGCTAGACAAAAGAGGAGTTAATGCTGAATCCCTGAGAGGACCCAGGATGCTTTTTGTTTATTTGTTTGGGATAGGGTCTTATGTTGCTCAGGCTGGCTTTGTACGTTCTATGTGGCTGAACTCCTGATTCTCTTGACTCTACTACTTGATTGTTGGGATTATAGGTGTGTACTACCACACCTGGCTATTTATTATTATTACTACTACTATTATTCTTTTAAAAAAATTTTTATTTCATGTGCATTGATATTTTGCCTAGATGTGTATCTGTGTGGTGGTGTTGGGTCCTCTGGATCTGGAGTTACAGACTGTTGTGATCTGCCATGTGGATGCTGGGAGTTGAACCAGTGATTTTAACCACTGAGCCATCTCCAGCCCTTTATTATTCTTTTATTTTATGTGTGCAGGTGTTTTGCCTGTATGCGTGTATAATTTGTACATGCTTGGTGCCCAAGGAAGCCAGAAGAAGGTGTCGTGTCCCATGGAACTGTAGCTAGAGAACTGTGAACCACTATATTTTTGGTTGTGAGTCCAGCCTTTAACGGCTGAGCCATCTCTCCAGCCCGTGAACCACTATATAAGTGCTGGGAATTGAACCTAGGTCCTCTGAAAGAGCAAAAAAGTGCTCTTAACCTTTCAGTCATCTCTTCAGCCCCTGTTTTTATTAATTTTTAATTATGATTATGTGTGTGTGTGAATGGGTGGGTATATGTGTGTGTGTGTGTGTGTGTGTGTGTATGTGTGTGTGTGTGTGTGTATGAGTGTGTAAGTACAGATGCTTTCAGAGATCAGAGGCATTGGGTCTTCCCAGACCTGGATTCTAGGTGGTTGTGAGCTGTCTGATGTGGATAGTGGGAACTAAACCCAGGTTCTCTACAGGAGCAGTGTGCATTCTTAGTTGCTGGGCCATTTCTCTAGACCTATTTATTTATTTTGGTACAGGGTTTCTCTATGTAGCCCTGGCTGTCCTGGAACTTGCTACGTAGATCAGGCTGGCCTCGAACTCACAGAGACCTGTCTGCCTCTGCCTCCTGAGTGCTGAGACTAAAGCCATATGTCACTATCACATTTGGCCCTATTTATTTGTTTTTGAGACAGGGTCTTATTTTACTTTATTATTGTTTTATTTTTATTTATTTATTTATTTATTTTGTTTGTTTTTCGAGACAGGGTTTCATTGTGTAGCTCTGACTGTTGGCTGTCCTGGAATTCACTCTGTAGACCAGGCTGGCCTCGAACTCACAGAGATCTGCCTGCCTTTGCCTCCCAAGTTCTGGGATTAAAGATGTGCACCACCACTGCCCAGCTTTATTTTTGGATTTCTTCTTCTTCTTCTTCTTCTTCTTCTTCTTCTTCTTCTTCTTCTTCTTCTTCTTCTTCTTGTTCTTCTTCTTCTTCTTCTTCTTCTTCTTCTTCTTCTTCTTCTTCTTCCTCCTCCTCCTCCTCCTTCTCCTCCTCCTCCTTCTTCTTCCTCGTCTTCTTCTAAATTTATTTATGTATGAGTATTTTAGCTGCACTTATGCCTTTATGCCAGAAGAGGGCATCAGATCCCACTATAGATGGGTGTGAGCTACTGTGTAGTGGCTGGGAATTGAACTCCAGACCTCTGGAAGAATGGCCACTGCTCTTAACTGCTGAGTCATCTCTCCAGCCCTATTTTTGTATTTCTTACTTACATCTTTTCCTTAAAGTTTTTTGAGACAGGTCTCACCATGTAGCTCAGGCTAGACTCAAAACCCCTTTTAATTATTTTTTATTTTATATGTACCAGTGGCTTGCCTCCAAGTATGTATGTGCACTACATGTGTGGCTGGTGCCAGAAAATGGTCTTGGATTCCCTGGAACTGGAGTTATAGATAGTTGTTAGTGCCATGTAGGTGCTAGGAACCAAGCCTGGGTTCTGCAAGTGCTTTTAACCACTGAGCTATCTCTCCAGCTCTGTGGACTCAAAAGTCTTGATCCCCTTGCCTCAGACCTCCTAGTACAGGGCTTCTCACTTTCTGTTTCTGTGAGTGAGCTGAAGATACCAGCTGTCTTGTGGAGGCACTGTGACTTTGGCATACAGGGGGTAAGCCCGAGATCCTCTTATTACTGTCACTTCCCATCAGACGTCTCCTCCAAAACCTCCCGGGTGCATGTCACTTGACACAGAAACCGAAAATGTGAATCTCATTACTCACCCTGGATCCTGGAGTCCACCCAACGTGAGATAGTGTTGGATTCGATCGCTCTCCTTTCTGCTGTCCAATTGCATGGTGATCTCCAGCTTTCTAATTCCTATGCCACCAGATAATGGCTCCCTCTTCTGGAACTGGTCATTCTGATATGCAGTTCAGGGGCACTTAGGGCCGAGTTCTTCTCTTTCAGACTAAGTCACTCTGTCCAGATTGCAAGCTGCTGGAGGTAGTGGCTTCATCTGTCTGCTTCATCTTTTACTCTGAAGGGCACTTTCAATGCAAATGATGTTCAGCCAACACTTGGTCAAAGAACAACTCTCTTTCCTCATTTCAGTGGACCCATCTCCTCTGTCCTACCAGAGGCTCGGGTGTTCTCTGTTTTGTTGGCTTCTAGACAATACATTAACATTAGATGTGTTCTGTGCTCTGCTGTAATTGGAACTGAGAGTTACTTCTCCAAGCTTCATCTACCACTCCCCTCCCCCCATACTCAGCAGCCCCCGAATAGGAATCTCTGTACTTTGCATTGCATGGAACACGACTTTCTCACGCCTCCATTCCTCTGTTCTTATATGCCGTTCCTTTGGCCGGCTATGAGCTTACCCTGGCTCCTGTGCTGTGGAACTCCTACTCACCCTCCAATACTCAGTTTCATGTCACCTTCTTTGTTAAGTCTTTTATGCAGTGGGCAGAGGAACAGAGCGAGCCCTTCTCTTTCTCTTTGGCTTCCTCAGCATTTCCCCAAATAGCTAGAACAGTACTAAATCATTATTTATTTAAATGCTTAGAAAATTATTATTATTATTGGTTTTTCAAGAGAGGGTTTCTCTGTGTAACAGCTCTGGCTGTCCTGGGGACTTGCTTTGTAGATCAGGCTGGCTTCGAACTCACAGAGATACGCTTGCCTCTGCCTCCTGAGTGCTGTTGTTGGGATTAAAGGCATGCACCACCACGCCGACTATTTGTATTATCTTTAATTATGTATAAGTGTTATAGGTGTGTGTGTGTGTGTGTGTGTGTGTGTGTGTGTGTTTGTATAAGGGTGTGTGCAGGTGAATGCCGGTGTCAGCAGAGGCCATAGGCACTAAGGCACTAAATCCCCTGGAGCTGAAGTTACAGACAGTTGTTAGCCATCTGATGTGGGTGCTGGGTAAGGAACTCAGGTCCTCTGGAAGAGCAGCGAGTGCTTTTAACCTCTGAGATGTCTCTCTAGCTCAAGATATTACTTGTTTACTCTTCTGCTGCTACTCTTGGCTGAATTGCTTAAAGGCCAGGATCTCTGCACGTCGTTTTATCTTCTTACCCAGCACAGTGCTTACTTACAGTAGGTATGTAGTTCAGTCAATGAACAGACGAGCCAAACAATTCATCAAACACTGCAGGTTGTACGAACTAGATTCCCAAACAATTCTGGGCCTGGTCCTCTATCTGGATTGAGCCATCCTGGGATCTCTCTTCCCTTCTCTCTCTTTGTCTTGGTTTGGTAGAACCGGAAAGGAACGCGATCCAAGTGTGGAAAGTGTTATTCCTCCAGGACAGAGCTCTAATTCACTTGCTCCGGCACCCAGAGGGTTACAGAGACCCAGGGGCGGAGCCAAATCCGTGCCACCTGCTGCGGGGTGGGCTGGCGCATGCGCCCAGGCACCGGCTGGGCTACCTGCGGAGGCCAGCCGAGAAGGGGCGCTTGCGCTCTGGGCCTTTTCCGCCGGGGGAAGTCTCGCGGGGGCGGGGCGCGGCGGGGCGGGGCCGCGTGGGGAAGTTCTCGCGGGACCCTGCCTAGGAGCGGAAGCTCGGCTGCTGCTGCTTCAGCGATCGGGCGGCGGCGGCGGCGGCGGCGGCAGCAGCGCGAGCGAGGCTGAGGCGGGGACGGTGGCCAGGGCAGCGGGAGCCGCAATCGGGGAGCAGCGGGGTTGGCGGCCGCGGGCGGCAGCGCAGGGCGGGCCGAGCTGGGCAACGGAGCGGACCGCTGCGCCACGGTGAGTGCACGAGAGCGGGCGGGAGGAAAGCGGGAGCTCCGTCGTCCCGGCGCCACGGCGGGCAGCCCGGGCCCGGTCTGCTTGGGGATACCGGGGCGAGCTGTTCGCGGGCCGAGGATGGCTCGGACCTGAGCGCAGTTGCTGCGCCGCCGTCTCCTCGTTTCCCCCTTTGGGGCGCTTCCTTCCTGGTGCCAGTCTTCCTCCCGCTTGGGGCAGAGACCCGGCTTGTCGGTGAGGTCTCGTGCCGCGGCCGTCCGCCTTGGCGCAGAGGGAGCCGGGAGCAGCCGAAAGGCGCAGGGTGCTGTTCTGAGTCAGGCTGACTGAGCCCGGGAGGCGGGGGATTCGGTGCCGGCTGCTAACGTGGTGATTGATGCTCCTTTGACCTGCAAAGCAACCACGTCACCATCTTTTGGCATCTTGCGGCGGAATTGTGTGCGGGAATCCACCGTGTGTTAGAATGATTGTTACCCGGACCCGTCGACGGGTCTTTGTCAGAGCCGGGCGCGTCTGTTTTAGAACTACTTGAAAAATACTTGTTGGGAAAAATCAGCAGCAGCAGCTGATGGGAATGCTGGGAGGAAGGATTTCAGCGAGAGAGCCCCGCTGGTTCAAGCCCGTTTGTAGTGCTCCGTATGAACTAGAGTTTGTTTAGAAAGTGATTTTTAGGCTATCTTCAAATGCAGTTACAGTGCAGTTTGCAGAGGAGCCGAAGCGCACTCCAGGTCCGTCTTTCGATTCCGTTGACACTCAGAAGAGGCTGGAGAAATTGGTGCTAGAGAAATTGGCATCATTTTGACTTCCGCACCCTCTTTCACTTTGTTCTCCAGTCTTTCCCTTTTCAGTCTCCTTTCCACTCCATTTGTAACGTTAGTCATTGGCCCCTCCACCTCCTTTTTAAAAATAGTCTATACTTCCCCTTCTTGCTGTACCTCCGTTATAGGTTTTGAAGTTTCTGCCCCTTTTGGCACTGTTAATTTTCTCCGTCGTTCCAAGATTCCCTTTTCTTTTTTTCAGGAAGATACCTTTCCCCGTTTTCATTCTTTTACTTTTAAAACGTCCACTGTATTCGTCAGCCAGCCAGAAGGGCTGCTCGGGCGTCGGGGATGGGGGGTGGGAACTTGAGTTCTCCCCTGGGAACTAGGATACTCCAAGGACTGAATTCATCCCTAAGTCATCCATAGCGCCACCAGATCACTAGTGGATTTTGCCCCTTTGCTTGTATTATTTTAGTATTTATTTTCTTCACAGATCATGTTTTTATGCCTGGTATTTTCTTTCTTCCCTCCCGTGTCTTTTCATTGTTAGTAAGGAAGATTGAGTCAGTTTGGGGGCCAAAAGACTTTGAGTTTTTAGTATGGCTAACAATTGCCAAGTGAAAATCAACTATGGAATTTATGAATTAAGATAGCTTGAAAAATATAAAGGAACAGAACTTTAGAAAATTTGTGAATTAAAGCCTACCCGTTCTAACTACTGATCTAGTCAGCAGGTTTTTAAAAATGATTTATTTTATTTTTATGTGGGTGAGTGTGTTTTGCCTGCATGTATTATGTGCACCATGTTCATGCCTGGTGCCTTCAGAGGCTAAAAGAGGACAAATACCCTGGAACTGGAGTTACAGAGGGTTGTGAGCTGCCGTGAATGCTGAGACTTGAACCCAGATCCTCTGAAGAGCAGGCAGTGCTCTTAATAGCTTGAGCTGTTACCGCTTTAGCTCATCTGTCTAGCTCAGTTGTTGGGTTTTAAGTACTATTTATTGGTGGTACTAAGGTGTGTCTTCAGCGAGTCCCATTATGTCACGTGCGCAGCAGCACTTGTATGTAGCATTATGGAGTGTTAGACCCGGAGAGTTACTACAGAGCCGCCATGTTCCCAACAGCAGTTGCGCCTTACTGAGGCGCTCTACACCACCCCCCACCCGTCAGTGATGACTGAGATTTGTTGTTTTGTGTTTGCCCAGAATTGGGCCAAGTTGAATATGTATCATTTTTATTTTGTCCAGACACAGTGCATTTTCTGGAATGCAAAATTTAAAATTTGCTTAAGACGCCCAGTCAGATTTTAGCAGTGATTCTTAAAGTTTGTGTGTATAAATTTACCTGCCAATAAATTTGCTAAATTTTTTTTAATCCAATTACTTTTTTGAGGTAAGGTCTTGATTTATATATAGAGTCCAGGTTGGCCTCAAACCTTTTATATAGTTACTTACTTGTTTATTTTGAGGCAAGGACTCTCTCTGTAGTCCTGGCACTGTAAACCAGGCTGGCCTCAAACTCTCGGAGATACTTCTGCTTTTCAAGTGCTGGGATTAAAAGTGGGCACCAATATGCATAGCCCTGGCTTCAAACTTTGAATCATCCTGTTTCAGCCTGACCTCGGTGCTAATGCTACCATACTTGGTGGGGATTTTTTTTTTTTAATTAGGTTATGATAGAACTCCAGCAGTGTTGTGTAATGTAAATTTTTCCTCTTAAGATGGAAACATTTGAAAGATTCCATCCCACTGGGAAGCTTTTTGAGTAGGAAGGCAAAATAACTCAAAATAGCTGCAGGAAGTCCCTGAAACTGACCAGATTCTCTAGGCCTCTTCCTGCCAGAGTGAGCAATGAAAACAGTTCCTTTTGGACCAAGAGAAGCAAAGTTGCAAAGAACACTCTCTAGACCAGACCAGCTGCTTGGAAGAAGCAGAAACCAGCCAAGCTGCCGGGAAGAGGTTTAGACCAGAGTCACTTGGAAAGAACATTCTCCAACCTGTTGAGCTGCCTGCAGGCTGTGCAGTGTGCTCCAGGTTCCCAGCTTTGTGAATTGACAGGCTGGGGTGGGCTCTAGTGACGCAGCTGTCTTTGAGTCATTCCTCCTGTGAGTAACCCCTCACCCATATGCCTGTAACTCACGCCAATAAAACTCATTGGTTCACCAACTTGGACTTTTGTGGCTTCCGTACTTTGGTCTATTGTGGGCTCTCTATCTGGGGTGAGAAGATGTGTGTTGTATCTTCCACAGGAAAAGTTTTACCACATGTCAAGCAGGCGCCCCACAATGAATTAGTCCCTGAATGTGTCGATTTAAAACAGACAGCTTTTTTTTTTTTTTTTTTTTTTTTTTTTTTTTTGGTTTTTCGAGACAGGGTTTCTCTGTGTAGCTTTGCGCCTTTCCTGGATCTCACGCTGTAGACCAGGCTGGCCTCGAACTCACAGAGATCCGCCTGCCTCTGCCTCCCGAGTGCTGGGATTAAAGGCGTGCGCCACCACTGCCCGGCACAGACAGCTTTTTAGGTTTGCATTAAAACTTGGATTAAAAGAAGAAATTCCCCGCTAGGAGGACCTCCTGCACGGTGGTCAAGCTCATGCTGTACAGTGGAACCACTTCCCTAGCAGTTCAGTACTTGTTCTGTTTCCAATTCTAGTGCTGGGAATTGATCCTGGGACCTTGCACATGGTAGAGAAACGCTCTACCACTGTGCTATGCCTCAAACCCAGTGATTAATTCTTCTGTTTTTAATTTATTTATTCATCTGCTGTAACCTGGCTAGTCTCAAGCTCATTATATAGCCGAGGGATGACCTTGAACTTCTGATCCTCTTGCTTCTACCTCCTGAAGTGTTGGGATTACAGATGTAAGCCACCACACCCCATTTATATACACCCCATTATATACTGGGGATCAGACTCAGGGCTTGTGCATGCTAGGCAAGCACTCTACCAACTAGGCTACATTCCCAGCCCCCATAGTTGGTTCTTACATATATAAAGTATTAAGACCAATATGGGGTGGTTTAACTTTAAAACATATATGTCTCCCAGGTACCGTGATGGAGCGAAGCCTAGTGCATAGAGCATGCTAAGGAATACTTTACCATAGAGTGTGTCTCAAACACCTCCCTTTTTGTTTTGAAACAGGGCCTCATGTAGCCCAGCCTGTCCTCAGACTTGCTGTGTAGCTTACACGGAGGCTGAGATTACAAGTGTGTGCCATCGTGCCTTGAACCCAGGGCCTTGAATATGATAGTCGGGGCTTTACTGATGAGCATCATCAACAGCCCCAGGCTCAGTCCCAATTTGTAATAATAGGGCTGTTAATGTGCATATCATAGAGTTCTGAGTTCATGTATGTAGGTACCAGTTCCAGATTTATTGTCACATGTAGACTTATAGTGGAAAGAGGTCCATCATCCTGGGTTAATATCTTAACCATCAGAATGTTTTTATTAGGTGCTGCTGTCAGCCTTATTTTCCAGTTGAAGGGCACTAGGGTTTAGAAAATGGAAGTGGCTTCTCTGGTGTCATTTTATTTGCAAATGCTAAAGGGATGGTTGAACTCAGGCCTTATGCCAGAGCATCTGTAAGGCCTTCGGTTTGCATCCCCAAAACAAAGTAATAATACTCACTGGAAGAACAATGAGGGCACCGCACAGAAAGTAATAGTATCTGTCACCGACTAGTAGAAAGAACAGTTGTTAGCCCACCAGTTTTAATCATATATTCATGTATTATATTTCTTTACACAAATTGGAGGAAGTAGTATTGGGGGAGGCGTTGGGATATGGCCTTGATATGTATCCCTGGCTGACTTGATGTGTAGCTTTGGTGGCTTCAAATTTTCAGTGATCCTCCTGCTTCAGCCTCTTGAGTGCCCCTCTATGCCTGTGTTTTGCAGTTTTTAAAAACTTGGAAATAAGTCTTTCTGCC